TCATATTTTGAATTGTATAATTTCTGCATGCCATCTTACCAGATTTAAACTGATGATCTATAATCCGGAAAAATCGATAATCCTGAATAGCTGAAGTCCCAATGAGTCCGGATTAATGACTTTTGACTGTAGTAGGTTTTTTATAATTAGACACCTTCTTTCCCCAAAAAAACCTTAGTTTCACGTATTTCTGAATATATGTCTTCCCCCCTTGCAGCTAAAGAAGAGGAACTTATGTTTGATTGCGCTTGAATTCGATAGTTTTATTCAAAATTTAATCTAATCTAAGATTGCTTTTTTGATCTAATTATAAATTTTACATTGGCATGTTTCTGCTCTGATTTGATATGATAAAAGGTATTGTAAAAATAATTGTCTGACATTTATACATACACATTACATTTAAATAAATGCAAGATTGTTATCTTAAGTTTGACAAAACAACTTTGCTCACAGTATCCAAAAAGAATTATTTAATCTTTCAGAAAGAGGAGCAAAGGAGGATCTTTTTTATGCAAAATTAGGTATTAAAATTGACATTTTATGCAATTATAAATTAGCTGTTATTTTTTTAGAAATTTTCATGCATTCTTGTTTAGGGCATTAACAGGTTTGTAGCGGTCCTTGTAAGTGCTTATAAGTCCTTATATTTGAAAATAAATATAAAGGCCCTTATAGGTGCTTACTTTTTCTTTAAAGCCCTTATTTTTTTGTTTTTAGTGCTTATTTTTTGCTTTTAGTGCTTTTTTTTTTTTAATGAACACGCTATTTTTCCTCATACCAAAACTAAATAAACAACTTTTCTTCCTAATATGAAATGTCAGCTAGTGAATCATACTTCCGGAAATAGCTTTTCTCCCTTTCTCTCTGCATTAACATAACCTTTGGTGTGCACGAAGAGTACAGACAGGTGCCTGTTGTTCTATTGGTCAAAGAATTGTGAAAGCAGTGGAAAATTCCAGTACATTCAGCATTCTTTTCCTCCCACCCAAATACTACACACGTTTGAATTTCTATCAAGATCTTAATGATTTACATTCTCATTCCGCTTGGCCAGTTCATATTCGTATTTATTGTTCCATTGGTTTATTTTTGTATGTTGCACTTATCGAAATGTCAAAAGCATTTATTTAGCGGAAAATTCTGAAGAGCGGCTACAGTCTACCCTCCCCCTCCGCTCCTCTTTTTCAAATTACGCTCGACTGTCCGAATATTCGCCAATTTCGAAGTATGCGGGTTAGTTAAGCTTTTACTGTTAAAGGATGACTGCATAAAGCAAATTTCTGTCTTCTGATTTCAGAAATGTTCCTCTTTTTTACTTAAATTACTTTGCTTGCAATATCTGTTAAGGGAAAACTGATATACAATGAAAATTTAAAAATGTTCAGAATTTAGAAATTATTTAAATATCATTATGAGTGGAAAAATAAATTGTATTTATTATTAGGTTCCAAGCGAATACAATAAATATGCCTTATTATTATTTATTTTCTCTATTTTGAACTGAAATTTCATCATTAAATCTTGTAATATACTTTACTTGTGCATAGTTTTTTTTTCTCTCATTGTAAACTAGTTCTGTAAATTGAACTGTTATTTAAAATTTAAAAAAAAAGAGTAATTATTTTCCATGGTTGAGGTAATGCTTTTTCTCTCTTAATAAATACAGTCAAAAGTCGTTAATCCGGACTCGTCGGAACTTCGGCGATTCCGGATTATCGATTTTTCCGGATTATAGATCATCAGTTTAAATCTCGTAAGATGGCATGCAGAAATTCTAAAATTAAAAATATGAAACCGTAATTTATGAAATAAAGAACAATTATGATCTAAAGGGTATCAAAATTTACAAAAAAAAAAAAAAAAAGCTTAATATTTATTTCTTTACTTTATTAAACATTTCTTTTAATGTAAGTTGTTTAAGTTGCTTCGTTTTATGTGATAATACTTTCTCTTTAATTCTATAAACAGACATAATTTCTTGTTCAGTTACAAAGTTCCGCTGTTCAAGGTCCCGTAATTGCTGTGCCGAGAATACCGACTAACTTGTCAATCGAAATTTTTTCGTTTTCACTAACCTCTCTGTACTCTTCTTCATGTCTTTATCCATTTTTTGCAGCAATTCCGCTTTTTGTTTGATGGACATCGAAACATACTTTCATTTTGTAGATCCTTTGAGAGCTCCAGCATCGGAAATTCTATTTGACGTAATCGAAAGTTCAAGTTTACTTTTATTAAATTGCTCTTACAGTCTGCAAAAAATAATAAACCGGATCCAATTCGAAGATTAAGGAACAACGCAATCTGCAACATTAACTGAAATAGATAATTAGATAATTTTAGCTTATACCGTCCGTTATACATTAAACGCGCAGGCAAAAACATATTCTGCGCTCGCGCGCACGCATATGCGCAGTCATAAAGGTCTTACGCGCATGCGTAAAATGCCAGTGCGCATGTGTCAACGCGGCACATGTGCAGAAAGTTTTTAGCTTTGAGGTCCGGATTATGGGTGTCTGAATTAACGACTTTTGACTGTACTGCATTTCTTATATTTTAAATTGCAAGTCTAATTTTTAAGATTATGCAGTTGTGTATAATGTAATTAGACAGGTGCTTATTTTTTTTCCTTAAAATGTGCTTGAAAAGTGCATATAGGTGCTTTTTTTTTTTTTAACTAAAATGTGGCTATGAACCCTGATTAAGCAATATTTACATTGCCAGTTCTATTTTAAAATCATTCATATTTGATTTATTATTCCTATCATCATTTTCATAATCGGCCTCAAAATAACTTTTCTTCGTGTAGTCTTTCAAAAGTATTCTGCATTATTTTTCTTTGCTGGCACAGTTTTGGATCATTACAGTTTCTTTTGCGGCAATTCAAGCAAGCGATTTTTCATATCTTCACAATAACTACATAGAAAACGTTCGCTGCAAATTCTTTCGTTCTTCATATTAATAGAATTCTGTCTTCAACGCATGTATCCTTTTTTTTTTTTTTTTTGTCAAAAGCAAATTGCCCTTTGGAAAAATGAAATAAAATATCACTGTCTTCCTCTTTTCCATGAATTTTAAGAGGCACTTTGCTACAATGCAAGAAGACATAATACATAAATGATACTTTACAGCAGTGGTCTACATATTACATAAATTATACATTACAGCAGTGGTCTCAAACTTAGATTGCAAACAGGCCAATGCACAATTTAAAAGTAGCTTATGGGCAGCAATTACAGAAAAAAAGGGTAGGATTTATTTATTTTAACAAAACTAAATTTGCTAATTGAATTAAAAACTGCTTACTAGATATTTGTAAAAACATATGAACAAAAATAACTCGAAGAAAAATATCAAATTTATACTTATATTTTCCTTGAAATCTAAAAGTTGGTGTCTGAAAGAAATTTCTGTTGATGACAATTTGGAATTCAAACAGACAGCTAAATATTAAAATTTTGAGACTGGCATTTATTCAGCTAATAGTAATATATTGAACTATTAAGTAGCTTAGTTTTAATTTGAATAAAAAAAAATATACTCTATCCTGAGAAGGACGAAACTTGTGAATAAATAATGACAACCTAGTCTCTTTCTTTTATTTATTAGATTTTTCTATGATGTAAAACAGAAACATTTATTTTTATGTAAGCTATTGTAAACCCTTTTTTTTTTTTTATACCACACCTACTACCACCTGATGACGTTTCAATTTTCATGAAGTTTGTAATCTTGGAGGGAAATAACTAAAGAGTATCATCACAAATTGTAGATACTCATTGGCAGTCTGGTTCTTTTTGTAGATGTATTAATTTTCCATTATGGGGAAAAAAAAAAAAAAAAAAAAAAAAAAAACTGTTGTCATTTAAATGTGTTCAAAAACAAAGTAAGTATTCTTATTGCAAAAATGAACTGTAAAGTGTTTCTTTTGGGAAAATAAATTTTATCAAGCTTTCCTCGGTTCTGTGTGTATTCAATCAATTTCGAACTTGTAATGCACATGCTCTAAAATGCTTTAAAACTAGAATACACAACAGCAGTTAAGCAGGATTGTTTCAGATGAAAAATAATATATCTTTACCTGCTACACAACTTTTAATTCAGGTGAGCAAGATTTTTTTTTTTAAAATTATAGTTGTTTTAATTATAGTAAATTTACTTTAGTGATGAATCAGCATTCCCCCCCCCACTCAAATCAGCTGAAATTGAAGTTTTTGAGAACCTCCTCCATTCGTTAAAGTTTATTAATTTGGGTTAATTTTAATATTCATAGCCCAAGATTTTAACACATGTTATCTAATAAAGTGCTCTTCGTGATTGTAAGTATTGTTTGCTCCATATTTCTATATTTCAATTGCTAAGCTTGCTGGGAATATATTTTCTTGTCCTTCACTTTTTCTTTATTCCTCGTTTTCTGTTAACTGTTAAATTAACACTGAAAGAAAATTAAATTTTTAAGTTTCGCAGTTACTTTGTTTAAAATGTCAGTCTTATAATTTTTTCATGTATGCATATTAAAAATAATCAGCGTAAAATCTGCTTATATTATAGAGGTAGAAAGGTTTAAGCTGTTAGTTTAATTTTATAAATGCAGTGCTTAGTCATGCATATTTGGCAACCAATAATATAGAAGTTTATATTTTTAATTAATAATGTAACCTTTTAAAGTGAATGAAATTTCTTAATAAAAAATATACTTAATGCATAAATATAAGAGTAGTATGAAAATAAAAATATTTGCGTCTGCTATATTGACATCTTCTCTAAACAGCTTTAAATCTAACTTAATCCTCTTACTTATAATGGAAAGGCCAAGTACATATACATGAAACTTCCATCTTACTTAAATGAAAAGGTGTAACAAAAAAAGATGCAAGAGAAACAAAATAATGAAGATAATAAATTGCTAGATATTTGTGTAAGATTTTTTTTCTTTCAGTTTTATTTACTAAATGTCAACAAAAATTTATTGTGTTTCTTCTCATTGTATTTGATTTTAGTTAGCCCTGAAATATCATCCTGATAAGAACAGGGAAGATCCAACAGCTGCTGATAAGGTTGGTTGAATTTCTTTTATTTATTTTTTGGGGGGGGGCATATCTGAGCAGATATAAATAAAATTTCATATTAAAAAATTAAATAGCGTGAAGGAATTGTGTATTTGAAAAGCTGTTTTGAATTTAAGTTAAAAGATCATAAACACTGAAAACCTCAAAATGTAATCATTGTTATTGAGCGAAAATGTAAAATAAATTTTCATAAATGATATGTTTTGTTTTTTAAAGCATTTGAATCTCAGCACTTGCTGCATTTTCATTTTTAATCAGGTTCATTTATGAAAGCTTAGTATTTCAGTTATTAGTAGTTACAGTTATTCAGTAGATAAGTTTTGCTTCCTGAACATTGAATATTTTTTTGCTCCAAGAAATGAGTTACTGGCAAACCAACATTACTGTAACTCATTAAGTTTTTCAAAACTTTCTGTTTTGAGAAAACTTACTTCTCAAGTACTTTTATATCATGCACTTCGAGAAGTTAAATGCTCGAACTGGAAATATTTACCATATAAACATAGACATGTATTTAAATTAGCCTCCATAAATTTGTAAGAAAATACCTAAGTTATATATTACATCTTGCATTGTTTATTCAGTAGGACATAATGAATGGATGAGTATTTCTTTCAGTGAAAAAAAAAAAAAAAATACAAATAGCATCACTAGAGAGCATTATATTAATAGATTATACATTTAGGCACAATTTTACAGTAGTTTTACAATTTTACAAAATTTGTTACAAAAAACGTGTTCTACATGATGGCCATCATTTTCACTTCCTATCTGAAATTGCAAGATGGCAAGTTCCACAGCTGACCGAAATGTGCTGGGAAGTGCTCAGCACATGGCATAAAATGCTTTCTTTAAGATCAGGCAAAGTTCTTGGATTGTCACAACTTACCAGATGTTTCAAATCTCCCCAAATCCCATGGATATAGGTCTGAAGATCAGGGAGGCCACACATTACAAAAATGCCGGCTAATGACATATTCTTCTGTAAAATGACATTTAAGAACATTCGTAATGCACCATTCAATATCTGGAGGAGCTCCAATAAGGCAATAGAACTTCTAAGTTGGGGCACGGATTTTCTGATTCCTAAATTCGGCAGTTGTGAGTATTCACTACACCGTCCAAATGAAAATGCACTTCATCTGTCCAGAGGAGATTCCAGGGCCATTCTCTGAGTCAACCTCAAAGCAAGCAAGAAACTGAAGTGAGAACCGGAATTGAGCGTTAAAATCATGTGTAAGCAACTACTGTACTAACAGCAGTTTGTAAGGGTAATACCAGAGGATATTCCACAATATCTTATGTACAGTAAAAGTTGTCTGTCCAGTGCCTCTGGTATACACTGAACATTGGTGCTAACCTGAAAGTTTGAAGCTATGTCCTCTAAGACCTAAAGCACAACCTTCCGTACTGCTTCTGCAGAAATAGGTTTTCTTCCTCTTTCAGGAGAAACAGAAAACGATCCTGTTTCTTCAAATTTTGTTATCATATTCTGAAGTTTCATTTCTTTCATTATTATTTTCGTTATTTCTTCAAATTTCATTATCATTTTCTGAAAGTTTCTATCATTCATCGGACCTCTTAGAATCCCCTTCAAAGCTCGAAATTTTTGTGGAGCAACTACTGCAGAATGACTGTTTTGATAGAACAATTTTACTAACAAAGCATGATCTCGTAAACTTATCGTCATTGTGAACAACATGCACATTGAAAACTTCGCTAATGTTTCTAGGTTTTACAACACCTGCTACAAGACGTCGACAAAGATTTGCATTTTTACTACAGGTATTTCAAAGTAAAATGCTCTCTGGTGATGCTATTTTTTTTTTTTTTTTCATTAAAAGAAATTCTCATCCCTTCATTAAGTCCACCACAAAATTTCATAATTTTCTTATCACTGGTTTCACCTTGTAGACAGCTTTGAAATAGGGTTCTTTAATTATAGATTGCTTCCCCTAGGTAAATTTTATTAGAAATTAACGTTAACTTTTTCAATAGGCTTTATAAAAAATAATTTTAAATTAATTTTTTTAATAATAATATTTTGAATATAGAAAAATCTGACTAGTCAAATTTTTATAATTCAAAATATTTATAAGTCAATTTTTTTCAAACTGATATAATTATTTTACATTTTTTCCTGAATAATCTAAGTCAGATACTGCCCTTAAACCTGTCCTCTTTTTCTGAATTTTTAAATGTGAATTAATGTTCACTTCTGTGATTATTTTCTGAGTTTGACATGCTCACAAGCAACTATGCTGTTGCTATTATTAGTATTTATAATTATTCTTAGAAGAAAATTGTAATTATTTTAGAGATGCAATCTACATTTTTATTTGGAAAAAAGCTGAACTGAACTGTTTCACATTTCATACTTTTTCCTTTTATTTTCTTTAAATGTGCAAAAGTTAGTCTTTCATGTGTTATTCTCTTCATTATTTTCATTTATTTTATGTAATTCTACATTTAAAAAGAAATGCTATCTAATAGAAAATGTTTTATTAACTTTCATTATCACTGTTAAATAGATATACAGTCAAAAGTCATTAATCCGGACTCATCGGGACTTCGACGATTCCGGATTATCGATTTTTCTGGATTATAGATCATCAGTTTAAATCTCGTGAGATGGCATGCAGAAATTCTAAAATTAAAAATATGAAACCGTAATTTATGAAATAAAGAACAATTATGATCTAAAGGGTATCAAAATTTACAAAAAAAAAAAAAGCTTAATATTTATTTGTTTACTTTATTAAACATTTCTCTCAATGTAAGTTGTTTAAGTTGCTGCATTTTATGTGACAATACTTTCTCTTTAATTCTATAAAAAGACATAATTTCTTGTTCAGTTACAAAGTTCTGCTGTTCAAGTCCCGTTAATTGCTGTGCCGAGAATACCGCTACAATGTATCGATTTGTCATTCGAAATTTTTTCGTTTTCACTAACCTCTCTGTCACATTCTTCATGTCTTTATCCATTTTTTGCAACAATTCCACTTTTTGTTTGTTGGACATCGAAACATACTTTCGTTTTGTAGATCCTTTGGAAGTTCCAGCATCGGAAATTCTATTTGACATAATCGAACGTTCAAGTTTACTTTTATAAAATTGCTCTTACAGTCTGCAAAAAATAATAAGCGGGATCCAAGTCGAAGATTAAGGAACAACGCAATCATTAAATAGAAAATTAAATAGAGGCACATGCGCAGAAAGTTTTTAGCTTTGAGGTCCGGATTATAGATCATTCCGGATTATGGGTGTCCGAATTAACGACTTTTGACTGTATACCAAATTTCTCCGTAAGAGTCATATAATTTCACATCACTTTCACCTTCATTGCATTTTTTCTAATATAAGTGTATGATTAAAGAATTAAATTCTTGCTTTTAATTATTTTCTGATTGTCCTATGTAGGGAAAAAGTCTTGCATACTACAAAATTTTATGCTTGTGTATTAGTGAATTCTTGCCATTACATCCCCAAATGTACAACTCCTGTTTGATTCCTGTGGGTATCCAGAAATTGTAGAAATTATTCTGGATTTTTCTAGAACGACAAGATTATTTTTTTCTCTCTCTGACCAACGCCTTTCTTTTTGAAAGGTATGATACAGATGGTCCTTCTGCCTTCCCCCTTCAGTATGAACTTCAAACCAATTCGAGCAAGCAGTAATCAAATATTATTGCTTGTATTATTTTTAAAGAAATTAAATAAGAATCTTTGTGTATATATATTCCTCACAGTGGGAGAAAATGATGGCACCTCAAAGCCTGACTTTTGAATTTTGTTTTATTTATTTCATATTTTGTATGAATTTAATAAATATTTTATTAACAAATTGACTAATTTAAAAGTGAAAAGAGAAACATCATTCAAAATAAAACAATTTTATATCAGCTTGCCAGACTGTTGCCATTCAGCAAAATGTAAGATTAAATTATATCTTTCAATTTTAATTAACAAAATTAATTGAAAGCTATGTCTTTTTTCATTGCCAGAATAAAAATATTTTTATTTTCCATGCCTTGGAGTGTTGCCATTCAGTAAAGCCTAAGATATTTACTTTCAGATTTTACCAGAACCTGATTAACAAACTAAGCAATAAATACAGTTCTTAATAATTTTTCTGCTTTTTAGTATGGTGATTTAAATACAAATACATCAAAAGCGTGAGATATCTAATCAAAAATATTAAATATGTTTATGAAATAATATTAGCTGGGCTTATTAAAATCATGATGTATTTTCTTCATTTTCATGTTAACTGTTTTAGGTGGCTCTTTGCACTGGCAGATACTTTTTAAAGAAATAATATAATGAATATAAAAAAAAAGTAGGATAACCCCCAACACTGTATTGAAAATTTTGAAGATGTGCTGTTTTTATATATTTATGATTTTGTTGTTGTGACATAAATAAATATGTGTGACATAAATGTGAAGAACATGATGTATAAAAAAGGTAATAAGGTTAAACCCACAAAAATCAATACTAGCCAAAGAAGTTTTTTAAGTCATTTGAGTGAGAAAATTGAACATTGTATGATAAACTGGAAAAAGACTGAGAAAAGAAGAAAATGTTTGCCAACACTTAGGGAGTTCTAAACATATTCTGCTAGCTACTTTTAAACATTTTGTGATTTTGCTGTTGAATTCTTTGTGGTGTAAGAAAGAATTGCAAAACTGTTAGCAGGGAGGAGTCCAAAAGCAGATTGGTTACCTGCAATGCTGAGCATGAGCATAAGAAATCTTATCAAACCTTTTGCGTGCAACATTAAACTTAGAATCTTTTCAGAAAAATAATTAAATTCATTGAGTAGCATCTTGCTTTAGCATTTGCATAAAGCTTCACACATTTTGCAGTACAGTCCTTAAATCCTTAGGTTTTTTTTAATCGATTTTTGTTCCTTAAAAGTCCTTATTTTCACCCAAAGTCCTTAATTTTAATTATCTGAAATTTCTGTCTGTTTTTATGACTGCCAT